TCAGCGGCCATGGCTCACGGGCCCAGCCACTCCGTGGCATGTGGGATCTTCCTGGACCGGGGCACGAACCTGTGTCCCCTGCATCGGCAGGTGGACTCTCAACCACTGCGCCACCAGGGAAGCCCAAACAAGATTGTTTTGTCAGTCTTTTAATTTCAAATGCATTTCCTGTATCCTGCATTTTTGTTCTCTTCTTCTCACAATTGCTGGGTTTGATATCATATTTGTGTGCCTATGATTGCCTACCTTTACTGTATGTTTGCCTTTACCAGTGAGTTTTTCCATTCCTAATTTTCTTGTTTCTAGTTGTGGCCTTTTCTTTTGCCCATAGAGAAGTTCCTTTAGTATTTGTTGCAAAGCTGGTCTGTTGGTGCTGAATTCTCTTAGCTTTTGCTTGTCTGTAAAGCTTTTGATTTCTCCATTGAATCTGAATGAAAGCCTTGCTGGGTATTCTTGGTTGTAGGTTATTCCCTTTCATCACATTAAATATATTGTGCCACTCCCTTCTGGCCTGCACAGTTTCTGCTGAGAAATCAGCTGCTAACCTTATGGAAATTCTGTTGTATGTTATTTGTTGCTTTTCCCTTGTTGCTTTTAATATTTTTTGTCTTTAATTTTTTGTCAATTTGATTACTGTGTGTCTTCGTGTGTTCCTCCTTGGGTTTATCCTGCCTGGGACTCTCTGTGCTTCCTGGACTTAGGTGACTGTTTCCTTTCCCATGTTAAGGAAGTTTTCAGCTGTTATCTCTTCAGATATTTTCTCAGGTCCTTTACCTCTCTCTTCTCCTTCTAGGACCCCTATAATGAGAATGATCATGCATTTAATGTTGTCCCAGAGGTCTCTTAGTCTGGCCTCATTTCTTTTCTTTCTTTTTTCTTTGTCCCACTGCAGTGAATTCCACCATTCTCTCTTCCAGGTCACTCATCCATTCTTCTGCCTGTTACTCTGCTATTGATTCCTTCTAGTGTACTTTTCATTACAGTTATTGTATTGTTCATCTCTGTTTCTTCTTTAGTTCTTCTAGGTCTTTGTTAAACATTTCCTGTATCTTCTTGATCTGTGCCTCCATTCTTTTTCTGAGACCTCAGATCATCTTTACTATCATTACTCTGAATTATTTTTCAGGTAGATCGCCTATCTATCTCCTCTTGACTTAGTTGTTGTTCTGGGGTTTTATCTTGTTCCTTCATCTGGGACATATTTCTCTGCCATCTCAATTTGTCTAACTTTCTGTGATTGCAGTTTCCATTCTGCGGGCTGCAGGATTGTAGTTCTTCTTGCTTCTGCTGTCGCCTCCCTCTGGTGGATGAGACTGTTTAAGAGGCTTGTGTAGGCTTCCTGGTGGGAGGGACTGGTTCCTGCCCATGGGTGGGTGGAGCTGAGTCTTGTCCCTCTGGTGGGCAAGGCCATGTCAGGGGGTGCGTCTGCTCAGGAAGACATTAAGCAGCCTGTCTGCTGATGGGTGGGGCTGTGTTCCTACCCTGTTGGTTATCTGGCCTGAGGCGTCCCAGCACTGCAGCCTACAGGCTGTTGGGTGGGGCCAGGACTCGGTGAGAAAATGGCAGCCTCCAAGAGGGCTCATGCCAATGAGTACTCCCCAGAACTACCACACTACCACCACCAGTGTCCTTGTCCCTGCAGTGAGCCACAGCTGCCCCCACCCCCTGCTTCTGCAGGAGACCCTCCAGTACTAGCAGGTAAGTCTAGCCCAGTCTATTATGAGGTCACTGCTTTTTTCCCCTGGGACCTGGTGCATCCAAGACCCTATGTGCACCCTCCAAGATAGAGTTTCTGTTTCCCCCAGGCCTGGGGAATCCCTGTGCCCCAAACCCACTGGCCTTCAAAGCCAGATTCTCTGGAGGTTCCTCCTCCCATTGCCAGACTCCCAGGCTGGGGAGCCTGACACAGGGCTCAGAACTTTCACTCCTGTGGGAGAACTTCTGTTTCCAGTTTTTGGATTACCCACTTGGCATGTGTGGGATTTGATTTTATTGAAATTACACCCCTTCCTACTGTCTTGTTGTGGCGGCTTCTTTGTCTTTGGATGTAGGGTATCTTTTTTGGTAGGTTTCAGCATTTTTTGGTCAATGGTTGTACAGCAGTTAGTTGTGATTTTGGTGTTTCCATAAGAAGCTCACCTTCTACTCCGCCATCTTGTCTCCTCTCAAGTAACAGTGAATTTAAATGTACAGTTCTGGAGGTTAGAAGTTCAAAACCAGTCTCACTGGGCTAAAGTCCAGGTGTTGGCAGGGCTGGTTCCTTCTGGCGGCTCTCAAAACATCTAGCTTTGAAAATGATGGGGCTCACATCCATGAGACCCACAAGGCTATAGCAAACTGAGAAACAGTTCTTAAAGACTTACCTGGCTACCCCCCAGGACCCAGCGCTAAGGCAGGTGACTGAAAAGTGCCCAGTCTTTCTGTGAAAGAGGCGTATCTGCTTGTCTGAAAGTTTAAGTCTCAGAGGCAGTCATCTAATTTAACATACATCTAGGAGCCAACTGAAATACTCTCCAAAGATGGATGCTTGTGGCTGCCATCTTTGCCCTGTCCCTCCACCTCCCTCCAGGATACTGGAATCTCCTGGAGAAGAGTTTGTGCACTTGTCTGGTGCACTGTTTTTCTGCAGTTGCCACCCAGAGACTACCCCTTGATTTCCTGGTTCTGTTGGCCAGCATGTCTTGTGTTCATAAATCCCACAGAACTGTAACAAACAGAGAAGGAGTTCTTAACCAGCTACACTTAGGGCACAGTGGAGAGGCATCAGACTGAAAACCCAGTCTTTCTGTGAAAGAGGACTATTAGTTTATCTTCATAGTTGTGGCCTGAGGAGCAGGGTTCTAATTAAATACACATCTAGCGGCTGACTACAATCATTCATCAGAGGCCACTGGGCACCATCTTCACTCTCAACCTATCTTCACTCTCAACCTGTGCCGTACCCCAGATCACCAGTGTCTCCAAGAAAGGAGCCTGTGTACCCATCTGTACCCCTTGGCTTTTTTGGCTACTGCCCAGAGAACACATCCCTTGATAGCCTGGCTCTGTTGGCCAACAGGGCTTGTGTTCATGAGTGCAAGAGATGAACAAAGCAAACAAAGAAATGGTTCTTAACTGGCTGTCAGTCACCCCAGGGACAGAAACACCCATCTCCCAGTCTTCCCCCCCTTTCGAAGCTGTGGGTTTGGCTCCCAATCTCCCTGAACCTTTGTGCTGACTGAGATACTCACTCCCCTTTGGGACACTGACAGGTCTTGGCACACCCTCAACTACTGGAGCCATTAAGACTAAAGTAAGCTGCTTGGATAATCATAAAAGTTTGAGAGAAAACCCAGAGCTGGGGCAGGGTTGAACAGTAAGTTCGCCTCTTACACAAAGCCACTCCTTCAAGACTGGAAGAGATGGTTGTTTTATATAATGCATAGAAACCAACACAGAGAGTCAGCACAGAGGAATATGTTCCAAATGAAGGAACAAGATAAAACCCCAGAAAAGAGCTTAATGAAATAGAGGTAGGTGATTTACCTGATAAAGAGTTCAAAATAATGGTCATAAAGATACTCACTGAGCTCAGTAGAACTATGCATGAACAAAATGAGAATTTCAACAAAGAGAAAGAAAATATAAGGAAGTACCAAATAAAAGTCATAGAGCTGAAAAATGCAGTAGAGGAGTTCAACAGCAGACTAGATGAGGCAGAAGAAAGGATAAGTGAACCTGAAGACAGGACAATGGAATTCATCCAATCAGAGCAGCAAAAAGAAAAAGAATGAAAAAGAGTGAAGATGGCGTAAAGAACTTATGGGACAACATCAAGCAGACAAACATTTGCATTATAGGGGTCCCAGAAAGAGGAGAGAGAGAAAAAGGGATATAAAACTTATTTGAAAGAAAAATGGCTGAAAAGTTCCCTAACCTGGCAAGGAAGCAGACATCCAGATCCAAGAAGCCTGGAGAGTTCCAAATAAGATGAACCGAAAGAGACCCACATCAAGACACATTGTAATTAAAGTATCAAGAGTTAAAGTAGAGATATCACCTTTACCCCTGTTAGAAAGGCTATTGTCAAAAAAGACAAGAAGCAACAAGTGTTGGCAAGGATGTGGAGAAAAGGGAACCCTTGTCCACTGTTGATGGGAATGTAAATTGGTGCAGCACTATGGACAACAGTATAGAGATTCTAAGAAAAATTAAAAATAGAACTACCATATGATCCAGTAATTCTACTTCTGGGTATTTATCCAAAAGAAATGAGAAAACTAACTTGAAAAGATATCTGCACCCACCATGTTCACTGCAGCATTATTTATAATAGCTGAGACACAGAAGCAACTTAATTGGATGGATGAATAAAGAAACTGTGGTATATTTATACAATGGAATACTATTCTGCCATAAAGAAATCTTGCCATTTGTGACAATATGGACAGACACTGAGGGCATTATACTAAGTGAAATATCAATAAATCAGAGAAAGACAAATAGCTTATGATGTCACTTATATGTGGAATCTTTAAGAAAAAAAACCAACTCATGATACAGAGAATAGATTGGTAGTTGCCAGAGGCAGGGGGTGGGGAAGAATAGGTGAAGGCAGTCAAAAAGTACAAACTTCCAGTTATAAAATAAATAAGTCCTGGGGATGTAATGTACAGCATGGTAAATATAGTTAAATACTGTATTGTATATTTAAAATTAGCTAAGAGTAAATCTTAAAGTTTTCATCACAAGAAAAAAATGTGTATGTTAACTGGGCATATTGTGGTGACTGTTAACACAATACATATATTAAATCATTATGTTGTACACCTGAAACTAATATGATGTTATATTTTCATTATATCTCAATTTTTTTTAAGTTTACCATCCCTTCTGAAATACTCGATTAACTCAAAACAGCTAATAAATATTGGGCATATTTTTCTTAAATAATTACATGAATTTTTTTTCATATGCCATAAAATGTGGTATTAACATTTAATTCTGTTTTTGTCTTGCAGGTGTAAAGGGTCAAATTTTTGATCAGAATGGGACTCCATTACCCAATGTAACTGTAGAAGTCCAAGACAGAAAACATGTCTGCCCCTATAGAACCAACAAATTTGGAGAGTATTACCTCCTTCTCTTGCCTGGGTTCTATGTAATAGAGGTAAGTATACAATGCTAACTATTGTTATTAAAATATTATAGAACTCACAATACTTACTTACCTAGAAAGAATCTAAAATAAGTCTGGCAAGTCCAAAAGTAGATACATCAGGACAGAATAAAAGGCCAACTTGCATTTAGCAGGGAGTGGGTGAGGTGGCAATAATAGGAACAAACTCAGAAAATCATGTTTTTTCCCTAACTGGCAATTTTTTAAATAGAAGCCAAATCCCATTTCGGGTGGTACCTTTTATGATAAAAAATGGAACAAACCTTATTAATAATAAGAATAAATAAACAATGTGGGGTGGTGGGATGAATTGGGAGATTGGGATTAACATATATACACTACTATGTATAACACAGATAACTAATGAGAACCTACTGTATAGCACAGGGAACTCTACTCAATGCTCTGTGGTGTCCTAAATGGGAAGGAAATCCAAAAAGGAGGGCATATATACATACATAGAGCTGATTCATTTTGCTGTACAGCAGAAACTAACACAACATTGTAAAGCAACTATATTCCAATAAAAATGTAAAAACAAAAACAAAAATACAATGTGGCCACAGTTCTTCCAAGCTTCATGGAATACCAGTTTAACATCTGTTCCGTGAACCATAACTTCTACTATTAAAAATTGATTGTGACACAAGTTCCTTAGAATTCACTACAAATAAAATTTGATCCACAAAGTTTACCACTATATTAAGTGATAGATATTTTGCAGCCCGCTCATAAGCAAACGATGGTGAGTTTTCCAATCAATGCAAGCAAAATTCCAGATTTTAATTTTATTTAGATGCATGTTTCTAAGGCTTTTCTTCCTCTAAGGACGCATGGACTAGTTTGAGTCTGAGTGAGTTTACGTGAATGAACTAAATGAGTAAGTATCTGATTTACTTGGCCAGATTATGACTCTTCCTCTTTGATGTGACTTTAAGAATGTCAAGATTCATCTAGTTTGCTTAGTCTAATGCCAGCCATAGTAGTCATTCCGTATAGAGCTACTCCTGAGAGAAGGTAGTCATCTATTCTGTAGTAAAAACTGGCTTTGTAGTTGTTTCATCTTTCTTTAGGACATAATAAAGGGCATGGTTTTCAGTTCATAAAACTCTGTAGGATTAAAAACCCCTGCTCCATAGGTTATCGCCAAAGTACCCAGCACTTTGAGTGAGGGGCTCATGCTTTTCTTGAGTATCTTTCCTCCTACCGAGGACATGAATAGAGCTGGAAAGACCTCAACTCACTATGAATCTTTGCCTAAAAAGACCCTTTATTTTCCTGTTATTTACTGTGACATTTTCATTCTGTGAAAAAGAAGGGTTTTCCTTGTAGTGAATCTATCAACAAACTGTTTTTATGCAATCCCATAAATAAGGCACATCTTGGATATATGTATATGTATAACAGATTCATTTTGCTATACACCTGAAACTAACAATTTGTAAATTAACTATACTCCAATAAAATATTTTAAAAATAAGCCACATATTTATAGAATAAAGTTATGAATTGTTCATTTCCAATTAGACTAACTCAGCATAAGTTGGCTTTAGTTACTAGCTCTAGGACAAAAACAGAAGGTAAGAAAGACTCTGGAAGCTTTCTTGAATGGCTAAAATACATGCCAATTAGTGGTTATGTAAATGTTATTCCCTATTCTTTTCCCTATCTACCATATATAATAAAAGCATTTCTCAGTAGCAACAGTCTATAGTTAGTTTAGTATTTGTCATTATTTTCCTGATCATTTCCTCCACCAAAAAGATAAATCTAGCTGAAGATTCAGACTCATGGACAAAACCAGGTAAAATCAAAGCTTTTTAAAGAAGCAATAACTTATGTATACACTTAGATCAGCTGCAAGGAAAATGGAATAAATCGAGAAAAAAATTCCACTTATAATCTTGACACAGAATCAGGATATTAAGTACAGGCTTGAGACAAAGAGAAACAGTCAACTCTTTACCTTTGCGCTCCATGAAAACGACGGGGACAGAAATCAGTCTATTGCTTCTGACTTAACATCTTCAGATAAAGGAACTGTCTTTATTTCACTTTGTAATTCTCAGCAACAGCATTAACAACTGTGGTCCATATCAGTAGGCACTTGGTAACTCATTCACCGAGCAGGACTGAAGCTGTTTCTAGCCTGGGGAGACCTGGCAGGTTGTTACATGTGTTTCATAAGGGCTGCATTTTAGTGGTGGATATTAGTGTTTTTCACTGTTCGCACCACAAAACATCTGAAATCACTCAGATAACTTTCTTGTTTCCTCTCAGGTTACAGTCCCTGGACACAATCCACATCTCACAAAGGTGACTATTCCCCCAAAATCCCAGAACTTCAGTGCTCTTAAAAAGGATATTTTACTTCCATTCACAGGGCAATTGGATCATATCCCAGAATCAGATCCTTTATGTCCTATAATTCCTCTTTATAGAGATTTGCAAGGCCACTCAGCTGCAACAAAGCCCAGTCTGTTCTTATTTTTAGTGACTCTTTTTCACATATTGTTCAAATAAAGCAAAATGTGAAACTCAACCCCCATCACCACCTGGAATCAGGGCTTACTCACGCCAGGTTACTGCAACTCTAACTCCCTCTGTGGGACCTTGACTGGATAAACTCCACGGTCCTTCCCTAAGAAGAGAAATGTTTGTTTCCAAATCCTGCAACAAGCAACGTATGGCGATAATGAAAGGAATGATGTAGTCTTAATGATGGAAGACACCTACCCATCAAGTACTGCTCACACTTAATCTTGAAGTAGTCTTAGACATTTGTAAGAAGTTAAACTTGAGAAGCATGCAAGAAGTTCCTGCAAGAAAAAAAAGGAGGTAATTTTGTATACAGAGAGCCGTTTGGATATAAGCAATGAAGATGAACATTTATTGATCACCTACTACATACAAGACCTTGCCATGTGTACTATATGTGAAGAGATAGTGCCATATATAATTCTCAGTGCAGGGAAAATTGATGATAGGCCTGGGAACGTTTTGCCAACGTTCTAAGGAAATATGAGAGAAAACAGGCAACCACGTTTCAGTGGCCCAAGAAAATATGGGCCTGATGCGATGACAAATTTGTCTACTGAGCCCCAAAATAATAGGTCAATTAAGGTAAGGGTCCCTGCCTTTCTGCAACCAGATGCCACAGTCTTCTCTTATGCTGATGACCCCCAAATGCCTGAGCTTCAGACTCAGGTCTGACTGCCCACTGGACACATCTACCTGGATGTGACAGATACCTCAAACTCATCATGTTGAAAAACTGAACATACTTCTCTCCCCAGAGCTGCTCTTCCTCCTGCATTCTGCCTCTGTTACTGATAGCACCAAACTAGAAACCTGGGAGTCACCCTTGATACCTCCTCCTCCTCCTCCATCCCATCTATTCAGTCAGTCACTAAAGATTGATGTTACTTGTATGTATTGATTGATTCTACCCTCTCTTCATGGCTACTAACACCACCAGGTTTAGGCCATCATAGCTCACCTGTACCACGGCAACAGCTCTACTGGTATCTTGCTTCCAGCTTTCTCCTCTTCAAATCCAACCTCCACACAGCACTGGGGAAAGGGGTCTATTTAAAACGAAAATCAGCAATCAACTGCTTGTAGTTCCTACACACATAACACGCTGTGTGTCCCCTGTGTCTGCAATGACATTCTGACCCACTACATTTTCTTTCCCACTCTTCCTTTAAAACCCAGTTCAGGTTGTTTAATGGGTACAGAGTTTCTGTTTGTCATGATGAGAAAGTTCTGGAAATACATAGTGATGATGGTTGTACAACATTGTGAAGTATTTAATGCCACTAAACTGTATACTCAAAACTGGTTAAAATTGCAAATTTTATGTTATGTATATTATACCACAATAAAAAAAGAGGATAGTGACTATTAAATATTAAAATAATGCTTCATTAGGTGCTTCATAATAATGTACTCTACAAAGTGAAGGCTCCAAGGCATACATGCTGTGTAAATTACATATCTTACTTAGGTGAAACTCCAACAGAAACAAAGACTAGTCTGTTAAAGAGTAAACAAGTAGGGCTTCCCTGGTGGCGCAGTGGTTGAGAGTCCGCCTGCCTATGCAGGGGATGCGGGTTCGTGCCCCAGTCCGGGAAGATCCTACATGCCGCGGAGCGGCTGGGCCCGTGAGCCATGGCCGCTGGGCCTGCGCATACGGAGCCTGTGCTCCGCAACGGGAGAGGCCACATCAGTGAGAGGCCCGCGTACCGCAAAAAAAAAGAGTAAACAAGGGCTTCCCTGGTGGCGCAGTGGTTGAAAGTCCGCCTGCCGATGCAGGGGACACGGGTTCGTGCCCCGGTCCGGGAAGATCCCACATGCCGCGGAGTGGCTGGGCCCGTGAGCCGTGGCCGCTGAGCCTGCACGTCCGGAGCCTGTGCTCCGCAACGGGAGAGGCCACAACAGTGAGAGGCCCGCGGGCAGCAAAAAAAAAAAAAAAAAAAAAAAGAAAATTCCCCTAAAAAAAAAAAAAAAAAACAGTTCAGGTATCAACTCCCCTGGGAAACCTTTGCTGACCATTGTCCCATTCCACTCAGTTTCACCCCCTCCCAGCCTCTTTGCTCCGCAAATTAAACAGGTTACCTCTGTTGTGGGATTTATAACACTGCATTATGCTCTTCTATTTCCATGAGTGATTTTCTCTGGCAGAGTGTGAGGTCTCTGAGACCAGGGTCTATTTAATTTGTTTGAAAAACCAAGTGCTCCAGCAAACTGCTGCTCTTAAAACATTATATGCAAGAATTAGGGGAGATGGGGATATCAAACAGCAGACCAGCAACTCTGGGGAGCAGGTTTCTGAGTGCTGTGTATCGCTCATGACAGTGAGTTGCCTTGGCTCTTATTTTAAATTGAAAGTCCTATAGGGTCTGGAAACAGAAACTATACTGGGCTTGGTACCTGCTTGAGACCCACAAATGAAAGGGAGATACATGGGCATTTAGGAGCTATTCCTATGCCACTTTATTCTACATGCACAAAATCATACATGTTAATATCAGCAATATTTGTAGACCTCTTTTAAATCTGGTAATAACCTAAATATCTTGATCATTTTCATTTAAATAAGTGGTAATTATATACTTGAAAGTATATACTAATATAATATTGCAGAAAATGATTTTCGTAATATTACAGATAAAAGTATACAAAACTCAACTTGATTTACTATCAAGTCCTAAACAATTTTCAGTCAGGCATTCTAACTTTTCTAAGATAGCAATTCTGAAGGGACATGAACCAAAATCTGATTTGGTTCATGAGCCTTAATGTAAATTTCTGAAGGAAATAATGCTTTTACAATCAGAAATTTTATCAGAATCAAACTTAAAACCATTTAGAGACAAGCAAAACAATTTAGAAAATTTCCAAACCAAATATAAACCAAACCTGAATTTAGTTCAGAGCAGGTTTGGGGTATATTTTGCAGCGACAGCTCTGTACTTGAAAGTGAAGTTTGCTGCAAGGATTTAGTATGGTAGAATCCCAGCTACACCCTCCACTCATCAAGTGACGTGTTCAAGAGAAAAAACGACCATGGAATTCTGACTACAGTGAGACCAGATCCCCAACACCTTTCCTACTGTTCTCCACCCTCTTAGGCTGTTGATTATGCTCCCCGGGTTGTAAGTTCAGGTGTAATTCCTTTTATAGAGAAACCAACATAGTAAAAGATTTTCAAGATAGGCGAAAAGAAGATAGCATGTATAATAGAATGACAATTAGGAGGCAGGAGCCCTGTGATTCAACCCACCACAGTTCAGTTTCCTTACCTGTAAAATGAAGGTCTCTGCTTCACTGTGATTCTATGATTATCAGGAGCAGCGGTGTAAGATGCCACACTCTGGTGCCAGTTTTGGGTACCTGCCCAGGTGGAGGAAGGATAATTAACACTCAAGAGGCATAAATATTTTGAAGGCAGTATAACTTATTAGAGACCAATAAACAGAATTGGTCTGAAAGCTGAAACATTGGCTAGCTAGAATGACCACTTAATATTTAAGGAAATGTTCATGAAATAACATAGCTTTTACCCACGTACCTTCTCAAATTATAATAAATGTTAACATGAATGAATTTAAATGGTGGGGAGTATTTTAGAGACATGTTAAGTCTCTGCAGGTACTATCAGTGTTGACTTCGGTGCTTAATTTATCACAGACTTGAGCTGTTGGATGTATCAGAAATGTTAAAAAGCCTCTTCTCAATATTTCTGAAAGTCTAAGAAATCAATATTTTTGTTCTAGAAGCAAATTTGCATTTGTAATATTTCTTAAAATGGTATGAGAGGTTAGCTCTACCTTTAGAAAGTAAAAATATCTGTCACTGGATTAAAAGTATCTTTTCCTAGGGAATCTACAAAAATGAGCATAGCATATTGTCTCACTGTGACAGGGGAAGTTGCTTATTGAGAAATTTGGTTCTTATTCTACACGGAGACAATGCAGTTGATGCCTATGTCATGACAGATTTAGATTGGCGGGAAGGGGAGAAAATTATGATGGTTAAAGTGAAAAAAAGTTCACAGCACCTAAAGTAGAAATTTGGGGAAACAGTCTAACTTCATTACAGACTTTACATTGTATCACTGATAAGCAGATATTGTACTGTATTGCTCACAAACCATTTTATCATACTTCAGCATATGAACTACTCCATAGCCTTTTATAGATGTTGCATAAGCTGATTTTATAAGTTTTCTCAGTGACTTTCTTTTGTACTATAATTAAAAACTTAAAATGCACAAATTGTCTAAAAAGTGTTATGGGGCAGGGGCCAAGACTACCTCTGAATTCAGTAAAATCAGAATATTTCTGATTCTCAATAAAGAATACTTCTGTAAACAACAAATGCTGTTTCTTTCCATTACACTACTTTGAAAACAAATACTTACACCAGTGTACAAAGTCCACATACCAGAGAGAACTGATTGCCCTCAAATAAAGACCAAATCTAATGACCTTTTATGAGGCAATAATATTGCAATAATTCTTCAAAGCCCAGAGAGTCCTTCCAGAACAGTTTATATGATATATACCTATCCAAATTACTTTGTGCCATGGGGGAGATAATGGATGAAAAGTGTGCCTACTGGCACAAAAACCAAAAAACAAACACAAAAAAATCACACAAAAAACACATACCACAAACACACACACACACAAAATCTTTGGAAAATTCCCAGCGCACACTGTAAAGGGTCTGAGAAATCAAGCAGGAAAGAAATGGATTCCCCAAACAGACTCAGCCATGGAACCATTTTCTTAAATAATTTAGCCTAGTACCATCTCTTTTGAACTTATATGTCTAGAAATTTTGGGAAATGTTGGTATATAGGGAGGGGTCTTTTGTCTTGAATAATATTTTATTGATTTCAAAGTGCTTTTGAAACAGAATAATAAAAAATTTGCCTCTTCTAGGAATTGGATAACTAACAGCCCTAACCCTCATCCCTTCATCGATGCAACCTCTTAACATCGAATTTCTAGTCATAGGACAGAGAGGTTGGGCTTAAGTGTATGTCTGCCCCCTGAAACATGCTAAACAAATAATAGTTTAAATAAGACAAGATTGAGTAGGAACTACTTTACAGGTACCAATTTCTAAAAAGTGGCCAATGTCTCAATTTTGAAGATGAATTGGGGCCAGTTTTTCTATTTTCAAAAGAGAATTCATTATATAGGACCGCCTTTAGCAGGAGTTTCCTGGTATATCTTAGCTAGACTTTGATACTATTTTTTTTTAATTTTTTGGCCGTACCACGCGGCATATGGGATCTTAGTTCCCCAGCCAGGGATCGAATTCACACCCCCTGCAGTGGAAGCGCGGAGTCTTAACCACTGAACCACCAGGGAAGTCCCTAGACGTTGATCCTTAAATTTGCAGCTCC